CGGGACTCCAAATATATCGTGGAGAAATCCACAGCGAGAGCGTGATTCCTGTTTGGCGAGGGCGCAGCGTTTGAATATATTGACACGAGGGCGCGATGCCTAAATAAACCGCGCGAGAGCGCGATCTGGGAATAAACTGTGAAGAATTATCTTGCGGGAGTTGTTGTTGTTGTTGTCGTTGTTGTTGTTGCTGTTGTTTTTGTTGTTGTTGTGGTTGTGGTTGTGGTTGTGGTTTCGGTTGTGGTTGTGGTTGTGGTTGTTGTTGTTGTTGTTGTTAATGTTAATGTTAATGTTGTTGTTGTTATTGTTGTTGATTTCTCACTAATGAAGAATATGAATTGTTGACCCCTCTCGGGTCACACATGTTTTTCTTTCAAATTGAAGTGCCCCTCCCGCAGTTCGCACCCAGTTTCTGGTCGGAACAAGTACTCCTCCTCGAGCTGCGCCCCGGGCCCCCGAGTTACAACAGCAACCATTCCCTCGTGATACTTCCTTGCAATTTTTATGAGGAGTCGCGCTTTCGCTAGGGACGTTGTAATTTAATAAAAAACAAGAAAAAAGCGCTCTCGCTTGTGCCCTCTTCGCAATTTATTCATGCGCCACGCCCTCGCCATTCAGGAATCGCGCTTTTGCTTGGGACCTTCCTCATAGGAATCGCACTCTCGCCCGAGACGCCCTGGCGAATGATGCAGGACCCTCGCATTCGTGCAACCGATGTGCGTTCTCAATTGAAGTGCCCCTCCCGGGGCTCGCTGCGTTTTTACCGTGGGAAGTCTTCCTGCTCAAATTGTGCCCCTGGCCCCCGGTTGACAACAACAACGGCTTCCGCCTCATGTTTCCCCACTGTTTATTCCCAAATCGCGCTCTCGCGAGGGACTTCCTCATAACTTACTGCAGGGATCACGCTTTCGCGAGGGACATGCTTGCAGTTCATTCAGACGGCACGCCCTCGACACTCGGGAATCACGCTCTCGCTGTGGATTTCTCCCAAATTTATTAGGGAATCGCGCTCTCGTTCGTGATCTCTTTGCGATTGATGCAGGACGCATGCTTTAGCAACCCGCCTGCCCGACCTGGCCGTCTAGGCCCGCCTTCCCGATCCTTCCATTAGGGTCTACTCGCCCGATCTGCCCGTCTGGTCTTGCCTCGTGTTTTCTGCTCGTAGTCCCCCTCCTGGTTCCTCCCTTTCCCGTGTCCCTTCCATCCGTCCTCTTTTTTCTTGCCTTAGGGGCCGGAACAAATACACAGGCTGCAAGTAAGATAGATACACCCCGAAGGGGTACGATCGAAAAAGAAGAGGGCGGGTACCATGGGTTTGGGATATACGTGGTGAGTGGCACGCGAGCAGGGAAGAACGAACAGTCTCAAAATGATAGTTGTTGGGGTTGCTGTTGGTGTTGGTGTTCTTGTTGTTGGTGTTGGTGTCGGTGTTGTTGCTTTGTTGAACGAAAAATTACTGTTGATCCCCCCTCCCGGGGCCCGCACCATGTTTTTTGATTTGGGCAAGTCTTGAGCATCAAATTGCGCCCTTTTTCCCCGGGTTACAACAACAACGGCTTCCTTCTGAGATTTCCTCAGAGTTTATTTCAAACCCGCGCTCTCACAGGGGACTTCCGCATAATTGATGCAGGAATGCTGCTCTCGCGTTGGATTTCCTCGCAATGGATTCAGGCGTCGCGCTTCCAAGCCTTAGGAATCACGCTGTCGCACTGGTCTTTCTCACGATTTGTTTGGGAATGGGTGGGTACCGAGGCCTTGAGAGATACGTATTGACTGGTATGCGAGCAGGTCAGGGTGATCAGTATCAACTGTATTGGAGTGTATGTTGTTGTTGACGTTGTTGTTGTTGTTGTTGCTGCTGGTGTTGCTGTTGTGGGTGGTGTTGGTGTTGTTGGTGGTGTTGACGTTGTTGTTGTTGTTGGTGGTGTTGTTGTTGGTGTTGTTTGTGCTCTTATTGCTCCCTGCATCCAAAGTGGGGTTCTTGTTGCCAACCATCCTGTGGTGTTGGGTCCTCGTTTTGACGCCCCGAGTCCTCTCTCCTCCTCCTCTCCGCCCCCTCCTCCCTCCTCCCGTCATCATCCTCATCCTCATCATCATCATCATCATCAGCATCATCATTATCATTATCATCATCACCATCATCATCATCATCATTATTATCATATCATCATCATCATCACCATCATCACCATCATCATCATCACCCGTTTCAGCACACCCCTCACACGTTTCGTGGCCCCATAGGGAGCTCAACCGAACGCCCCAATGGGACTGCCCGCATGCGTCACGCACCACACAGTACAGCGTTTCGTGGCCCCATAGGGAGCTCCACCGAAGGCCCCAGTGGGACCGCCCGCATGCGTCACGCACCACCCAGTACAGCGCTCCGTGGCCCATAGGTAGCTCCACCGAAGGCCCCAATAGGACCGCCCGCGTGCGTCACGCACCACCCAGTACAGCGTTTCGTGGCCCCATAGGGAGTTGCACCGAAGGTCCCAGTGGTACC